ATTTTGTCACACCAAAAAACCACGCTCTCACAACCGCTCTCTGATTAAAAGCTTCTCTGCGACGGAGAATACCAAGTGCTGAAGGCCCAGCAGCCAGAACTGAAGCTAAGAGAGTGAAGAGAAGAAAAGGCAGCGCCTCACTGTTCACATCTCGCTTTTAAAGGCTCCAAAAAGAGAGATCCAAGAGGTTGGGCAGGGTGGCTGACAGGGAGAGGCTGCACACAACCTCCAGTACAACGTTCTGCAAAGGACCAGCAGAGCTCCTCACAGCTCATACGTGTGTTATTTCTGTGTTTGCTCTCAACTAAACTGTATTTATTTTAATGCAGAAATCTATCGAGGCAGCACTTAAACACAACCAGATTGCAGCTTCCCAAACCGAAAAAGCTCCTTCAGACAAACCTCAAAAACTAATAAAAATCTGGACGGTGCAGCATCATGCACTGCATTTTTAAGCTCAAATACCAAGCAGGCACAGATAGATTTGATAAAATTAAAACCAAACGCACACAGCTTATGCAACGACAGACACCCAGCACGAGCTGAGCGCTCAGACAAGGAGCAATCCACCTTTGGGAGCTACAAGTGACCAACACACACATGCACCCTGGGGAGCGAGATCCCCTGGATGTGGCTCAGAAGCATCACCCATAAAATGTATTAAACTTGTACCAAAAAAGCCTTTGCGTTAAAAGGGCCCCCAGTAATTAGTAATGCCTTAATAATCAGTCATGTTTTAACGGCATCAACCAAAATGAAGAGTTTTTGCAAAGGAAAAGTGAAGAATGATGGTATTCTTATACAAGCCAGTTGTCTTAGCACTATCAGCAAAATAGAAAAAAACCTGCTTTACGTGTTAAAAGCTGAAAAATCCCAGATGGGGAAAGCCAGGGTGGACCCTGAATTCCTCGAAGACCGGACAGCCTCACTTATTATTTCCATCGGGTATCTCCACCCAAAAACTCCTGGGGAAAAGTACAGAAGCAAAGCACACACCTCAACGGGAGCTCCCTCTTAAAAACACCCCTCAAACAAATGAAACGAGGAATGCTGTGCTTCAGAATACCCACCCCAGCCTTAAATGTGCCCCCCAAAATATAGGCGTGCATTTACAGATGAAACTTGGCTGCTTTTGGAGGCCAGGATTTTTAAAGTGGAAGAAAAAGGCACAGGGACAGAAGCAGTGCCATGCGGGGCCTGGTAACCAAAATGGGAAGGATCCCACAGAGCATGACGTGACCGGTCACTTTTTCTAAGTGTGCTCTACGAATGAGGCATTAAAACTGCTCCATTTTGGGAAATCCTGTACGAAAACCAGCATGCAAGTTGGGCCACCTGAAGATTCACTGTAGAGCTGGCTTCATGTTTTCTGTGGCTACTCTGCCACTTTAGAAATATATGTGATATGAGAGACTAAAAACACACAGCGATTTGCCCAGCACTAAGATTTCACATGGCCACATACAGACATTTTGCCATTTACACATCCCTGTTATCCCACAGCTGAATGTGCCTTGTAAGACAGCACACTTTGTTAAAAGAAAGTGCAAAGGTGCAGAGCATGTTGGTGATGTGCGTTAGTTCTGACACAGCCGCAGGTCTGTGGATGAAAAGGCAAATGGAGCGGCCACGGGAGGAGCTGAAATGCCAACAAATTCACACACTTATGCATCAAGTACTGCATTATAGCAGCTCCAGCAATATTGCAAACTCTCCCCTTCTCTTTCAGGCAAACAAAGCAGCATCAGGAAACACACATTCATCACCATCGAGTGCACCCAGCGCAGTCAATGAACTCACTTCAAGCAATCCTTACAATGGCACCAAACCATGCACTGCTCCCAACACTATTTCAGCGTGTGAAACACCCCTCCGACACACTCAGCCTCAGCAAACAAACCTCATCCCCCAGAAAAACCTCTCCGAATTTAGCAGTGCTGACAACAAAAGCACGCACTGGGAAAAGAAAGAAAACAAAGGCTCCCAGCGCCTCAGCAGGACCAAATTTGTCCTTTGTGAATACGTCTGGTAGTAACTTACACACGTCACCCACTGCTGCACCAAGAGCTGTGCCCTCCCGGCTCCCACGAATGCTAGGTTGGGTGTTATGATGGAATATGAACACCAACTGAAGGATGAAGCACAAAGCAGTGCTGCGCTCAGCACAGCACGACGGCCGCGCAGCTCTCGGACTGCGCTCTGATTTTTGCCATCAGCGCCTGCACGGTTCTGGGTTACACGTGGATGTCCTCACCTGGCACATGCGGCACTGGACCTCCCAAACATCAATTAAGAATGAAAACCAAGAGCCCAGCAGAACTCAGTGAATGGGTTTCTGGAGAACAGCAATCAACACCGCGCTGAAGGGAAATCGCTGTGCTTCAGTGAAACCAAGCAAAGCAAAAAGCTGCTGAACTAGAGCTGGTTTTCACGTGAATTGGATCGAGTTGCTCTTTGTCAGGTAGAGCCACGCTACTGGAAGTCAACAGGAGCTCTCCAGGCTGAGCACTGTGATGTTTCTCTGCCGGCTGTAGCTGCATGGCAGAGCAGAGTGTGATGTTATAGATAGGGGAAGGAGCGATCGGCCGTCACCAAAGAGGTGCTGGTACAAGAAACTATGAGTCAGAGACAATTCCTGACTAAAGCTTGTTACTAAATAAGACAAGTGCATGTGAACTGCAGTCTGAAATACCATTATCTGTCCTCATCTACCTTTAAATCTCACAGCTCGCACAGACTGCCAGGTAATTAGCTAATTATTTCACTACCGGCATCAGCATGAAAAAAGAGATGAATCATAAGGAATGCGAACAGCCACGAAAACAACTCGAACAAGTTGTCTCCCCCAGCAATCCGGGCATCACTCGCTTGTGCCTCTGGTGCTGCTGAGTTTTAAGGAGCTCCTCAATCACAAAGAGCCCTCTGAGAGCCACAGTGGAATCGGAGCCCTTGTCGTCCCCCCCCCCAGCACGCAGCAGAGAAGAGCAGCACGAAGGCAGCACAGAGCCCAGCGCTGCAGTCAGCCCCGTGCATCGCCGTGTCCTCCTCCCCCTATCCCTGCACCCAAGGAGAACCAACGAGATCGCAGGTTTCACCATCAGATTCAAGCAAAAAACATTTTCTCTCCCGCTACATCGTGTGTCAGCACAAGGAATTGTATGCCAGAGAACCACAGTCACGGAAAATTCTCTGCCGGTGTCCCCGAGTTTTGCCATTTGAACCCTTCCAGCGACAGAAGGGTGAAACCAAACAGTGCCTCTGTCCGCTGCTGTAAAACCAGCCGGCTGTTTTGTGCCTCCGAAATACCCAAACCTGTCCTTATATAGGACCCACGATGGAATGGTTTCCTTCTGAGTGATGAGCTGCTCCAACAGCAGCGCTGTGCTTATCGCGACCAGGGACGTATTGCTCAAGATGTTACTAAGAATAGCGGTGATCCAAGTGCACGTAGGAGTGCTGTGAAAGAAGGCACCGCTCCACGCCACGCACACACAAACAAAACACACCGAGTTCGAAGCCAAACTGCACTTTTAATAAACGTGCAGACCGTGCGCGGTTGTTTTTTTTTTCTTTTTTTAAATCTATGGAATTAGGGGTTAGGGAATAAATTCTCCTTTTGCGATCTGTTCTGAAGCACAAGGCGGTGCGTTCACGGCTGTGCATGCGTGTGCAAGGGGATGTGTGACGGAGGGAGGGCGAGCGTGTCTGTGTGCAGAGTCTGCCAAGGTGGAACTGACAGGAGCTGTGATTTGTGCTAACTAGCTATTGATCCAGTCAGATCGAGATGTTGTGTACAAGAAACAATAAAAGAGAAGGGGCCAGGAAGGATGCTGTGTGCAACTCCATTTAAAAATGGAAAAGAAAGGCCCCAAACAAACCAATTTATGTCCTTGCCTGGGTGAAGCACGGAGAATGCTGATGGGCTTCCTACAGTCTGCTGTGCATGCTAAACACTCCCGCTTCAAATGAGAGTCTCCTGAGCTGGGCATTAACCATGAACAAAGAGACAAACAGTGGGGGCGAGGATTCACGCTTCAGAAAGCCGAAGCTGGAGCACCGACCAGAACTGGGAGTGGGGAACTGACGATGCCCCAAGCACCTGAGCTCCATCTCATTTCCCAATGCCTTCCTTAGTGAGATTGCCGAGCACAAAACGCAGCAAAAAGTCGGTCTGTAAGACCTAGCCTAACAAAAACAATTCCAAACTATGCCGTTGTGCCAAAACTGCAACTTCCCTGGGCTGAAATAATGCATTTCTAGCGTGGAAGTCATGCACGTGCACTTGTGGCACGTCACACAACCACCCGTGTGCCCTCAGACACGTGTGCCCATTGTAACGTCCCCATGGTGGGCAGGGAGCTCTAAAATACAGCCGTGAGACGACAGAACAGAAACCGACTGAATCCATAATCGCCTTTATCTTAAACAGCCTTTATCATAGGGAGTTCTCATTAGAATATTTTTTTCTGAGCTCGGAAAATTACGATGCCCTGTGGGCACGGGGAAGGATCAAAAATGACAATGAATGCCAAAATGAAACATCTGCCAGCTAAGCAAGTTTTACACCAGTGGACCCAGAACCTAAACTTAAATTTCCTTCTCACTAAAAAAATAAAAACCAAGAGCATCACCCTGCTACCCGGCTGCTGGCACATGCAGGAAAGTACCTGAAACTGCACGGGGATCACTAACAAATACATGTTCCCACGGCTTGGACAGATCTCTCTAAAAGTTCGGAGGAAGCGGATGCAAAGCACAGCAGGTAGACCCCCCAAAGCCCCCCCCAGCACCTGGCTGAGCCCCCACACCTCAGTGCTCTGCAGGTGGCCACTAAGCTCAGAACCACGACCCTGGGCCCCGCCGGGCTGTGGGTGCTTTGTCCCCAGCACTGCTGCCCCACCGAGCTGTGAGGCAGGGCAAGGTTGGTGCATGCCTGGTAACCTCAACGGCAGCCCACAGTCCCCCCCCGTGGGCCAGGATGCGCGCGGGACAGCGGATACCTTCTTTGCTGGGATTCTGGGGCTTGGGCTTCTCCCACGGCGCCATGGGCTTGTCTTCCTCCTGCCCCTCCATCAGGGCCTTCTCACCGGGCAGGTACCAGGTGGAGTTGTGCTCCGCCATCAGGGAGTCCAGGTCGATGGTGCTCATAGCGTTCTTGACACCCTCCGAACAACACCCGCCCAGGTCACTGTCCCCATTCTGCCCCGCACACTCCCCCTTTTTGCTCTTCAACCCCAAGGGTTGGTCTTCCGAGATGCTGAACTGCTGCCGCTGGAGCTGGATCTGCGCCTGCAGGATCTCCAGAGGGTGGATCTCGTCCTGGGCCGAGGTGCTGGTGGGGGTCCGCACCTGCTCCATGCCCGGCGTGCCGGGGTGCGCGCCCGCCGTGCTGCTGAGCCCGTAGCTGTCGGGGGTCGAGGTAGATGTATTGAGGAGGCCGAGGGCCAGGGGCTTCTGTCCGTTGAGCAGCGCGTGCTCCCCGCGGGGCAGCTTGGGCGAGCCGCCCAGCAGCGGGCTGCGCGTGGGTTTGGGGCCGGCGTTGTCGGAGCTGGAGGACACCTCGTCTTCGTTGCCGTAGCTGGTGCTGACCTCGTCGGCGAAGTCCACGTGTGGGGAGCCGCCGTCCGACTTGGTCACGCTCTGGATGCCGCTGTCCAGCGAGGACATGAGGTCGGGCTGCTCCGCCAGCAGCAGCTCGCCGCCCTTGCCCCAGGAGGGCGAGGTCAGGGGCTTATCGTGGGGCGTGCCCCCGCCGCGCTCCGCGCCCGCGGCCCCCGGCGGCCCCCCCGCGGCCGGAGGCGCCGGTTGCCCCGGGCTGACGCCCGCCCCGCCGCCCTCCGCGGCCGAGAACTTCTCGAAGAAGGTGCCGGGGCTGACGTGCCCGCTGTCCCGTTTCCGGCGGCCCCGCCCCCGCCCGCCGCCCGCCTTCCCCTCGCCGCCGGCCGCCGGCTCCAGCGCGAAGCCGGGCGAGAGGCTGCTCTCGGCGGGCAGCAGCGGGGCGGCCTTGCCCGCGCCCCCGCCCGCCGTCGGCCCCGCCGGGAAGTAGTCCGGGGCGGCGGGCGGCGGCGGGTCGGGCTCGGCCTGGCTCAGCTTGCGCTTGGCCTCGGCCGGGCTCTTCTTGTTGAAGGTGACGTTGAGGTTGGGGGCGCCCAGACTGGCGATCATGTTCTGGCAGGCGGTGGAGAGGGCGGCCAAACAGCTCTGGCCGAACACGTTGTCCTTGCCGGCCGGCTTGCTGAAGGAGCCCAGCGACAGCGCGCCCAGCTTGCTGGCCGCGGGCCGCGGTGGCGGCGGCGGCGGGGGGAACTCGGGCGGGGGCGGCGGGTAGGCGCCGGGCGAGGCGCTGAGGGCGGGCGCGCTGCCGTGCGCCGGGGGCTGCCGCGCCGCCGCCCCGAAGGGGAAGCCGGGCTGGGCCGCGAAGTCGGCGGGGCCGCGACGCTCGGCCGGAGCGCTGGGAAGGGCCACGCCGCCGCCGGGGGACTGCAGCTGCGAGAGGCCGCCCACAGCGGGCGCGAAGGGCGGGTGGACGCCGGGAGAGGGCAGGGCCTGCGCCGGGCCTTCGCCCGCCATCCGCAGCGGCTCCTGCAGCCCCAGCGCGCCGGCGCCCGGCCGGAAGAGCACGGCCGCGCCGCCCGGCTGCAGGCCCAGCTCGTGGGGGGCCGGCTCGGCCGGCAGCCCCGGCCCCGCCATGCGCCGAGGCAGCAGCTCCCCGGGCGGCGGCGGCGGCCCCGCGAACCACGTGCCGTCGGGCGCCAGGTGCGGCGCCGGAGCGTCGAAGCCGCGGGCTGCGGCGGCCTCGCGCTCGAAGCCGGGCGGCGGCAGGGAGCCGGCGGGACCCACCTCGCCGTGGTGCCCCAGCTGCTGCAGGCTGGGCGGCCGCAGGCGCTGCTGGCTGCGCGAGGCCATCTGCTTCATCACCAGGGCCGCGTTCTGGCGCTGCGCCAGCGCCGGGTGCTCGGGGCCGCCGTGCGGCAGCGGCCCTACGAAGGCGTCGGGAGCCGGCGGGGTGAAATCGCCCGGCAGCCCCGGGTAGGACGTCGGGGAGAGGTGGCTCTCCATGGCCGGGCCGTGCATGCCGCCGGCCCAGGAGGCGCAGCGCTCGACGCCGGGGTTGCCGGGGAAGTCGAAGCGCGGCCGCTTGGCGACGCTCACGTAGGGGGCATCGAAGTGCTGCAGTCTTTGATTTGGTGGCTGTTGCGGAGGAGGGTGCTGCATATTAAACACGGGGTCGGCGTAGGGATGCATATTCCTGTTCTCCAGTCTGTGAATAGGGTATTCAAACTGTGCGTGCTGGTTCTGCATTATCGGCCCATTGTCCTGCAAGTTGGGGTTGGGAGCGTTGGCTTCTGTTTGCTGTTGCCTAGGGATGGCCGGCGGGCAGGAGTTCTGTCTGGCCAGCAAGCCCGGCGGCTGCTGCGGCTGCTGCTGCTGCATCAGCGGGTGCCTGGTGCTGGCCCCCGGCTCCAGGCTGGCGGGCATCTTCCGCGCTCCCCCGAAGCGCTCGAAGAAAACGCCGTGCTGCTGCTGCTGCGGCGGCGGCGGAGGGGGCTGCGCCTTGGCCACGGCCATACCCGGCGCCCGGGGCAGCGCCGTCCCCGCGAAGCCGCCGCCCGCCGGCACCTGCCGCCCGCCGCCGTAGTGCGGCAGCTGCCCCTCGGGCTCCGACGGTGAGAAGACGGGCAGCTCGAAGTGCGCGGCGGGGCCGTCGCCGGGGTAATTGTATTCCAGCGAGTCCTGCGCGGGGAGCCGCCGCTGCTGCTCCAGGCCGTGGGGCTCGGACGAGCCGGCCGCCGGCAGCCCGTGGAAGGAGGCGGCGCGGTTGGGGGACTGGTCGAGGGGCAGGCAGGGCGCCGGCACGGCGTGTCCGGAGGCGCCGGCGCTGTGCTGCTGGAAATCGGGCAGGTTCCCGGCGCGCTGCTGTCCGAAGCCCTCGGCGCCCTGGCTCTCGGCCATGTGCTCGTAGCCGTCGGCGAACGCCGTCTGCCCGCCCAGCGCGCCGCTGTAGCCCAGGAGGCGGCCGCCGTGCACGCAAGAAGCGCCGGGATCGGGCCCGAAGTTGCCGCCGAAGTGCGGCTGGTGCTGGTGTTGGTGCTGGTGCTGGTGCGGGTGGTGCGCGCCGCCGTGGCCGCCGTGCGGCTGCTGCCCGCCGAAGAAGCCGTGCACGGGCGGCTGCATGCCGGCGCCGTGCAGCTCGGCGGGGCCGCGGCCCGGAAAGCCGTAGCCGTCGCCGGGCAGGCTCATGTTCATGCCGAGGAGGGGCGGCTCGCCCAGCGCGCCGAGGGCCGGGTCCACCGCGGCCGCCGGACCGCCGCCGGGGAAGGCCGGCGCCTTGAAGTGAGCGCTCATGCTCAGTCCGGGCTGCCCGAAGCCGCGCTCTCCCTGCCCGCCGCTCCGGCTGCTCATCTGCGGCTCGAACTGCTCCAGCCCGAACATCCTGCGCGGCTCAGAAGCGCATGGCCGCCCGCTGCCCCGCCGCCCCGCTCACATCGCGCCGCGCCCGCCCGCGCTCACCCCGCGCCTCTCCGCTCGCTGCCGCCCGGCGCTGCGCTGCCCGGGAGCCGACGGGGCGCCGCGCCGCCGCTCATAGGCTCCTCCGGCGCCCGGGAGCCGCGCGCCGCATCGCCGTCCGCCGGACGCGCGGGGCTCCGGGGGCGGCGGCGGGGCCGGGGCGGGCGCTGCGTGCGGGCGCTCGGAGGGCTCCGCGGCGCTCCCCTCGCGCGCTCTCCCCCGCTCTCAGCCGGCGCTGGCGGAGCAGCAACAAGTTTTGCATTTCAGCGATGAATTTCAGCCATCGGGGCTGCGCCAATGAGCGCCGCGCGGCCCGGGGCGGGGCTCGCCGTTAAGGTGGCTCCGCCGCGCCGGCTCCTCGCCCCTCCCGCTTCGCTCCGCTCCCTCCGGCCGCTGCCCCGCGGTGTTGCGGGGGGAGCTGCGCGGAGCGATGCCCGCCCGCCCGGCCCGGCCGTCGGGGTGCGGAGCGGAGCGGCGGGATTCGGGTGCTCCGAGCCCGGGAGGTGCCGCTCCCGATAAGGGCAGAGACGGGGAGAGGCGGCCCGCCCCGGGTCCGGGCAGCGGGAACGGAGCGGTCCGAGCGCGGCGCCCTCGGGGTGAGAACACCGCTTGGACCCCGGGGAGGATGGGGAGGGAAGCGGCACCTGTGGGGCTCGCAGCTCGCACGTTTCGTAGTGAAGAAAAAATAGGAAGAAAATGAAATTACTCGCACCAAAAGAAAAAAAAAAAAAAAAATGAGAGGGAGAGATCTATAAATAAGCAGCCGAGAAGTATTTGTGTATGGCAGCAGAGTTTTAAAGGGATTTTTTCTGCAGGATCAGGATGCCGCGCTGTGATTAAATATTGATTTTGTGTAATTAGTTTTCATGTGAACTATCCTCCTCGCTGATGGCTTGGAGATTTCAGAACGGGAGAAGAAATGGAATCGGACGTGGAAATTATTACTTAGCCGAGGGACGGGGGTGCTCGGGGCCGGCGGCTGCACAAAGGGGAGAAGCGAAGTTCCGACCGCAGCGGGGAGGGCGCCGACAAAGCGGAGCGGCGGAGCCCCGCAGGCGGAGCGGTTCGAATCCCGCAGTTTTGCGGCTCCCGCAGTTTTGCGGCTCCCGCAGGGCCCGAGCCCCCCTTCCCACCACCACCATCGCTCCCCCCAGCCCCGGGGCTCCGCGTGCGCTTCTCCCGCGGCCGCCGCGCGCCCCTCCGCGTCCTTCTGCGCCTGCGTGCGCGCCGTCGGAGCGCGTCTTGCGAACGGGCGCAGCGCCCCCTGGCGGCCGCGCGGCGCAGCACTCCGGGAGAGCCGAGCGGAGCCGTCGGGGCGCGGCGCGGGGCGCTGCGGAAGCTCCGGCGGGGCCGCAGCAGCAGCACGGGCGGCTGGGACGCGGTGCGGGGCTCCCGGGTAGAGGGGGAACAGTTCTGGCTCTGCCTTTAGGGTAGATGGGGCGCACTGTTCTAATTCGTAATGTTAACAGTGTGTTGTGTAAATGGTCACTGATGTCCTCTTGATCCAATCTTTCTCTGGCCACAGAGGCGTTCTGTTTAAATGGGGATTTGTTTTTGTTTTCTTTTTAATTGAAGAAAAGTCTGGATTGAGCTGGAGGGGGGTCCGAGCACTGATGGAGCTGTGGGTGTCTCTGTGCGCTGCAAGGAATGGGACCAGATGGCTGGCCTTCGGGGGTCCTTCCAACTCAAACCATTCTGTGGGTCCGAACCTGAAATGCAGCAGAGCACAGAGAGCGCTGTAAATGACAGCAACACCAGTGCACAGAGGCACTGTGAGTGTATTCATGCCAGGGGTGCACAAAGGTATTTCCCACTGAGGTTGCCATGTGCCTGCCGGACGATGTACCTGTCAGGAGCAGCACTGTACACTAATTACTGCTGTAATCACATTGGATTCCATTTGAGGACGACCCTTTTTATCACAGCTTTGTCATCACGTTTATACACAGCCTCTTCTCTGGGGAGAAAGCCTGGGCTCTGCACCGCGGCTGTGATGAGAGCTGCACAGCGTGGCTGTGGAAGGAGGAAACTCACTGCTGCCAGTGCTGCGTTCCCACTGCCTGGAGCTCCCACCACTGCCTTGTGACCTCAGGCCGATGTGCCATCACAGCTCTGCTCTAACTCCAGGGCTGTTGTCTCAGGGGCTTATCCTGCAACAATTCACGTGCACCAGCTTCCATGTAAGAGACCAAATCTTTTGGCAAAGAGATTTTCAGCTATGAAGACAGCTCACCCCGTTACTGTGCAGGTGGATGCTGTGTCCATTTGTTCCTCAGGTGGAAGAAGCGCTGTCAGAAGAACTGCAAAGAACACACACGTGTGGGATGGAGACTCCCTCGGTCCATTGGCTGAACACCCCAAGTGTTCCAGGACCCTGAGCTCCCATCTGTGCCCAGCAGCAGAGCCCTGCACTGTGCACACCAACAGAGCCCTGGGGCTGTCGCTGCCACCGGAGCTCAGGTATGGAGCGCCCGGATGGGGAAACCTCTCCATACAGGGAGAAGTCTATCCTACAAACAGTATTTTTACTTTCGGTCTTTGGGTTTTGGCCATCGTGGGGGGAAGGAGGGAAAGGCGTTATTTAAATAGCGGTAGCTGCAGGGGATTATTTTCTAAATTAACAATAGCCGTCGCCGCTGCCAAATCCGAAGTGGAGAGGATTCATTGATTTCGACTTTCAAGACAATGGTGTGATTTGGGGTTTCATATTGCAAGCTCTGCAAACCAAATAGTGGGGTTGATTTAGAAAAGGAAAAAAAAAAAAAAAAGAAGAAGAACAATTCAAACGCCATCAATTCATCAGCCCTGAATTCAGCTCTTTCCACGGTGCCAGGCCGACTTGCACTGAGAAAAGTCGCTGCTCAGCAAAAAAAAAAAAAAAGAAAAAAAGAAAAAAAATCCCTTTTTAACAAAATGAATGCATCATACATAAAACATCACGGAGCGTACAATTAGTAAGCAAATGTAAGAGTTCAGCTCAGTTCATAATTATTCAGCAAACCTATTCAGGACGATTTTTTTTTTCTTTTTTCCTCCCTGCAGCAATCAACTGTGTGGGCTCATTACCACCGAGAATCTAAGGAAAAACCACACATAACTGTACAAAACAAGCCCATATGCTGGAAAACTTCAGTTCGCCGTTAGCAAGAGGTCTTTTAAGCTGTTCCATCAAGCAGAGGCACGGCTTGCTTTCCTGTGCCGCTCACACCTCAGCTCTGTAAGGTTAAGATCAGCCTTCAGGTGTATCAGTGTAACTACTGAAAGGCACAACGGAGGGATAAAAGTGAAACGGATGACACGTGTTCAGCAGGACGGGGCTGTGAGCACTGATGGAGCTGTGGGTGTCCCCCCAGTGGGACCAGAACAGCCTTCAGGGGTCCCTTCCGACTCCAACCTGGGTCTGTGATTCCACACATCTGATTGTGTTGAAGAAAAACAACACAAACCCCAACAAATTAGCTGACATAAACACCCCAAAGGATTAGTTAGGCTGCAGGAACTGTAAGGGTTTTATATTTCCTAAAGTAAGTCGCTGAGACATAAATAAAAAATAGCACCTCTCTATACGGATAATCAGTATTTAACTCTCCTCGGTATTTTACGGTGGAGTTTGTATGATTGACTTTGTTCTGCTGTTTTCTTAAACCCGAAGCAGGTGGGATTTATGGCAGCGTGGTGAAGCAGGAATGAGCTCTGAGCATCTGGAAAGTCGGGCTCACCGTGGGCGATGCCAGAAAACCACTGCAGTTAATTCATTTTTCATCATCTTATAAACCAACCTATTGTGAAAGCAGAAAAGCAGAGGCGATTTCGTAAAGTCTTGATGACTTAATTTTCCCTGAGCGTTTGGTTCACAGAGGGCTCACCTTGGTGCTTTTCTTTTACATACAGACATCAGGTGCTGTTTTATGCTGTGTCTGCAAGTTCTTCTCTGCCACTTCATAGAATGGTTGGAGTCGGAAAGGACCCCCAAAGGCCGTCTGCTCCCAGTGCCTGCAGTGCACAGGGACACCCACAGCTCCAGCAGTGCTCACAGCGCCGTGCCCTGAGCGTGGCTGTGTGCAGGGATGGGGCAGCACCAGCTCTCTGGCACCCTGTGCAGTGCCTCACCGCCCTCAGTGTCAAAACTTCATCTTTTCATCCAACCCAAATCCCCCCTCTTTGGGTTTGGAACCATTTCCCATTATCCCATCACTACAAACCCTGCTACAGCATTTGTCCCTTTCCGTCCCACAGCCCCTCTGGGTACAGGTGGCACACAGCGGGCTGCCCACCACCAGCACAAGGGGTTAAACATCTCCTGCCATCCCACAGCAGCGCCGCTTCGGGATCACATGGACAAAAGGGCCGATTTAATCCCGGCTGCAGACGACTCACATTGTGCTCCCAGACTTCGAGCAATGTCAGGCTATCGGGTTTCCCACTCATATCCAAGGCACAGCCCGAGCACAGACGGAACAAAGACCTCTTTGTTACCGGGGAAAAAAAAAATCCCCCGCAGATATTAACAGCGCAGCAGAGTTCAAACTGTTAAATGATTCAAATATTACTTAATGAATACATTCCAAATGAGGTCTCAGAACCCAGAACGCTTTTTAGATCATCATTTACAGAGAGCCCGCCTCTTCGTTTACTTCTTTATGAACTCGTTGCTGTCAGGTTTTAATTATAGCCATTTTGCTTCCGGGCTTTTTCACTTATTGGCAGAGTTTGGTTCTCCCCGTTGCGCTGCAGACGGTGAGGGCTGCACCTCCCAGTCGTGGCATTGCCTCCCATGGGCGGTGGCGCCCCATCCCTGGGGACACTGAAGGTCAGGGGACAATCCCAGGGCAAAGATCAGCCCGGGACATCGCCGGTGCCAGCATAGGAATACTTGAATAATCAACAGGATGCCTTGAACTTTCGCAATCGATCATCATTGGCTCGAGCTAATATTAACTTTGGGAGATGCCATTATCTACCGATTAATGGAAAGCGAGAGTAAACGCGTGCTGTAGCTAATTGCCCAACACAAACACTGCGTATTAAAGTCGTTACAGATAAGGCTTGGTTTGAATTTAAGGACTGCGTAAAGGCGCTGCTGCTTTTCCTCACCCAGCAGAATTGCCAGGACCTCATTGCAGCCTTCCAGTACTTGAAGGGAGCGTATAAACAGGAGGGGGAATGGCTGTTAGTGAGGGTGGGTAGTGATAGGACAAGGGGGAATGGTTTTAAACTAAGACAGGAGGTTTAGGTTAGATATTAGGAGGAAGTTTCTCACACAGAGGGTGCTGAGGCACTGGCACAGGTTGCCCCAGGCTGTGGATGCCCCATCCCTGCAGGCATTCAAGGCCAGGCTGGATGTGGCTCTGGGCAGCCTGGGCTGCTGGTTGGCCACCCTGCACATAGCAAGGGGTTGAAACTAAATGATCACTGTGGTCTTTTTCAACCCAGGCCATTCTATGATAAGGGCCATGCTTCATTGTCTCAGCTCTGACCATTTGGAACTGTTGAAGTCCCCAGGAGATATTTGTTTTTAAAATCCATGGCTTAAAGGGTTTGACTGTGTTTTCTAGCAATGAGTGACTTCTGCGACTGGCATTTCCTGGCTGCAATTTAAATGCTCAAGAGATAGGAATACACTTTAATTGACTGAATGCTATTTATATTTCTATTGTGCTAAAAGTTTATGGCACAGTCTTAAAATCAGAGCAGTCCAAGCGCCACCTGCTCCTCCTCCCAACACAAACACATGCAAAGAGGAAAAGTCACAGCACGAACTCACAGCCTTCACAAATGCCAATCAGTTAAAAACATGGGGCTAACTCACAAGAAAAATGGCAGTACCTTCACGGAGCAGCACGTTATCTTCATACATCTCACTTTCTTAATGTTGTATCAGCAAAAAGCTCCTGTGCTTCCCTGTTCTTCTCAATGAAACACAGGCACTCCTTGCGAGTCCATTCAGACCGCGCTCCTACGTGCAGCCAAGCGACGGGTTTGAAAGGTTACTGCAGAATATGGTTCACAGCAGTCTACTGCAGTGAATAAATATCATGTTTACATACCCATTATAACAAAACCATGTTACACTTCCACTGCTTCATGTTGGTTTGCCATCTGGAACTTCAACAAGCTGAGAAAAAAGAAAAAGAGAGAGAATTCAGTTTTGCATTTACAAAAAGGAGCTGTACAAGTTTCGATTTACAGCAGCAGAAACCCATCCACACACAGTCAGAGCTGCATCCCCGTTGGCACACAGCCTGCCTGGTGTGCAGGGCTCGGCCACACTGCGTGTGTCTGCTGTGATGGGACAAGGGGAAACGGCCTCAAACTCAGAGGGGAGAAGGAGATTGGATGTAAGAAGTTTTTACACTGAAGGCCATTCTGTCTGCACAGTGGGACCATTCCTTCCTTGCTGGGATAGGATACAGGGTGAGCAGCACCTGTGACAGAAGAAGACAGCCACAACCACAGCACTGCTGAGTTCCAAGCATATCGCATGGAAGTGTCTGCAAAATGCTCAGCCTGGCAGATTGAAACACACACTCATAACATACAAAGAAAAGCACCTGCTCCATATTCCAAATGGCCACAAGGTTCCAGCCAGGAGTCACTTCGCTCCGAATCCCAAACCAAACTTCTGACCCAACCCCTCTCCCCCACTGCTGCTAACATTGAAGCACACATTTGAGTCACAACACCGTACTGCATCCACAGAGGACTCCCACCTTCCTACACAGCCCGATGCAGCTAAGCACCAGTTCATGATCAAACCACAACTGCTAATACCTAAGACAAGAGACGGAGCATTTTATCATCAAATTTATTGAAACGTCATTGAGTTTCGCTGGAGGTCACACCAAAGTCTGCCAAAGTCAACTAAATGCTTTACATTCACTACAAGATTCTCTCAGATTTTCACAACTAGTTCTGTTATTTGTGAACTTGTAGGGCCCCTTTCCCTCTGTGTTATGAGTCCCATAAATGACAGCAAGACTTGTATTCTACCACTGAGAAGGAGCCTTTCAGTTTCCAGGCTTGCAACAGCCCTCCTTGCAGCAGAGCTGTTAAATGGAAGTGTGTGCACATATGTCCACATATCTATTTACAAAACCAACCTCCTGCTGTCACAAATATCCATCAAACTGTTCATCGAGAAAGGGAAAACAGGGAACCCCCCCCCACTGCAGCACGGAGGATGAAATCACTCAGGAAAGCTGCCCAACCCTGGCAGCAGTGGGTGTGCTCACCTGGCTTCAAGTTCAGGCAGATTTTGTCATTGACACAGAGGAGAAATCAGATTGCTCCTTCAGTAAGCAGAGTAAGTAAAAAAATGGTTCAAAATAGAATGGAAGTGATATTATAAAGATGGAAGCTTAAGCAAGGTTTGTCCTACCGAGGTTACTGGGAGGAAATCAGGCAGCAACAGAACTTTACCTACCTAGTGTTTCTAAAGTAGTTGGCTTCTGATCTAGCGAGCATTTTGGTAATACATGTCTATGAGATGCTCTACCTCCATATCTTAAAAAACGCTGAGGATGTTTTCCTATTTGAGAGTTATCTACAGATGTCTTTATTACACTGCTTCTCAAGCATCTACTGACAAACATCAGAGAAACACGTTAGATGCTACAATTTAAACTTTCATCATACCTGAAAGTATACATTTCTTTTTAAAGTGTATTTTCAACATGAAAAGAGCTAAAAAATCACCGTTATATTCCATTGTGTGATGTGTGTGAACTCAAGACAATTTGCATAACTTCCAAAGTGAACCTCTGGAAAACAGCACTTTCATTATCAGCATTACGTTAGAGAAGGTCTCTGCCTTTGCTGGCACAGCGTGGCGAAGAGGAACTCGATGCATCTTCTTGCTCTAGAAAGCTGCTTCTGGAAAATTTCAAATTGCAAGCAGTTTATAAATCACAAGCCGTTTTTCCTTAATCTTGCCAATTTTAATGAAGAAAAAACATTCGCATTTCAATGTACAAAAGTCCAATAAAACACTTTTTTTTTTTGCTTTGTGACTGGTGGGTAAAGGTTGGGTCAAACTTATTGAACAGTAAAAGTCTTCCAATTTCCACTGTGAGCAACTTCGTTCTGATTTGCCTAGAGGAGAACGACCACCCAGAAATAAATAGCTATAAATACATTCATTGTTCCTATTTCAAAAATTATCCACATAGGGAAGACACAAAATTGAAGTTAACTTGTTGGAATCCGTTTCTTTACAACGGGACGGGGCCGAGGTGTAGCAGAGTGACTCAGAACAGGGGGGAAAAGAAAAAAAAATAGGGCATAAATTGGTCCAGTATTGACATTCATGAAACATATCAGTTAAGAGAATTCTGCCGTTAATTCGACCTTTAAATGACTCTACTCAGTTGATTTTTATTTGCTTCAGGTATACATAATGAAAGCAGTTTCCTTTGCATCTTTGCTGAGGACAGGTATAGTAGTACCCTGGAGACACTGTAACAACCCCCTTCAGTATGCATGTGCGTATATATAATTATATACAAATAATCATGCATCCACACACACATTGTAATGCGACACTGCATGTGACGGTTAAATCCATCATCATTCATCGTTGGCAGCACTTGTTCCTCTGACTTGGCCTTGATTACGTAACTGTGGAGAAAGAAAACGCACAAGGTAAGCATTAAAAGCTCCTCGAAACATCAAGTGCCAAATAGGTAGCTTAATTAACCTCCAATTAAAACAGGGCAGGGCAGTCACAGCATCACCGAGACCGAGCAATTCAGAGCAAAGCAATGCAAGGTGTCCCAGGGCCCTCACACAGCACAGCAGACTTTACAGCTGCTGCTGCTGGGATCCCACCTGTGGCACTTCAGCAGTCACAGTGGGAAATACCAGCATTAACAGACACAAATACTCAGAGCTTTGCCAATCTCGGGAAATGCTGCTTTCTGCAGCATTACTACTTTTATGCAGTTTAACATTTAAAAATGGCTGTGTGGAACTGGATTTTAAGAGGTTAATGTGCTTTAAAAGGTGACAGTCCACAGCTTCCCTCAATAACGTGGATTAAGTCCACATATCACAGGATAGTGACTCCTGCAGGTTGTGCCCAGGAAATGATTTGCAGGCTTCAGAGCTCAGAGCCAGCACAGTGATGACAACAGGTCATGCACTTTGGGTTTCTGCACTAGCAATGCAGAAGGAAGCAGGTTCTATGGCCAGGGTGTAAAGGCATTCTGCCAACAGACCAAGCACCCGTGGTTGTTTTTACAGTAGTTGTGTGCAGAGAAGGTCTCTCATGTCCTCTGGACACAAAATGTCTCCTCCAGCTGTTGATCACATCAAGGTATTCAATCAGGAAGGAGCTCAAGGCCCAGAAGCATTATGTGGTATCGTTCTGCCAGCAATTCCCATATCATATATATCAGTCTCCTTTTCCATCCAGCAGTTGACTTACACAGCTTGATTTGCCTCAGAACCTACAGAGAACTCCTCTAGACGTCAGCAGCCAATGTGCCTCGAACGGAACCCTTCTTACGCATCTAAACGTAAAATAAAACTGTGAGCTACCATGTAAAGAACCTATCATGCTGTTGGTTAGTAAGAGAGAAGTCACAATCGACATGGCCAAGGCTACTCACCCTGGCCACGACCAAAACCAGCCTCAGCTGAAGGCTTTGGGAGGCCGGGTACACAGAGCAGGTTTGTTGGGGTGAGGGATGCCTGGGAACCACACAGCAGCTGTAAATGATGCTCCTTAGATTTTTATCAGCCTATGATGCCTCAGAACCACCCTGCTTGAAATGCTCAAGGACACAAGGTGTACCACAGTGCTTTGGCAGATGCTCTCCTACTATGCAGTGATTAGCTGATGTGTATGTAGTGAGCCACAGGTGCTCCTCACCTCCAGGAGTCAGATGTATAAATCACTATGTGATAGAAAAAAAAATGAGGAAGATGGGCTGGCATTGAGAAACTCTGGAAGAACACAGGTGAACACAGGTGAGGAGTCACAGAGCAACAAAAAAGTAACAAAAACAGAGAGCCTGACAATAAATAGTGGCTTAAGATGAAGAAGGGGACCAACAAAAGAACTGAAAAGTCCACAGAATCTGAGGGGAAAGAGTAACTTAAACTAGAATGAAGAAGGGGTGTTGGAGAGAAAGGGAGCAGCAAAAGAAAGCAGTGCATCCTGGGGAAATGCAATGCTGCCAACGTCACCACGCTTGTTTCCTGTGCTCGTCACACTGCATAACACAGCAGTGTCAAAGCTATTTCTCTGCAGGGATGGAAGCACAAAGACACTCTAGTCAATACTGTAGGCACTTCCCAGTAGTCCAGGTCATCTATTTAAACAAACCTCTATTTAAACAGGAAAAAAACCAAGATATTTCAGCAGTAGGTGCCCACTCCTCTCACATTTCACCATACTCACAGAAAAGCTGTGTTAGCAGTGTGAAAATGTGGCTTTTGCAAAAAGCAATGCACTGAAGTTCTTGAAGATAGTGGTGAGCTACCTGAAACATGCTAGCTGCACTGCTTTGCAAAACAAGAAAACATGAGTAGGTTTGACATTTAAAAACAAGGATAAGAAATCTGTGTGATCCATGAAAACACCTTTCCATAATCAGAAATACCCCACTGCCAATGAGAGTGCAATGTTTGCAACAGTGAGTGAACTCATTCTTCCCAGATCTGTAACAGGAGCTGCCAGGGCAGACTATCCCTCCAGCTACCTGAAGAGAAAAGGTGGTTTTACCAGCTCACACCACCTAGCCATTAGCACCAACAGCAAAAAAACACCTCTTCCAAATTCCAACATTTCCACACTGTTTGATAAAAACCAAACATCAAGCGGGGACAGAAGAATTACAGCTAGTTTTGGTTCTAAAAGATGTGCTAGGCTCAAACCATGAAAAAAGCACTTCCAAAACCACTGTCAACAGGGAGACAAAACCATGAGACAGTCTGTTTAAACAGGGCTGGCAGATGAAATGAGTAAAACCACGCTAAAAAGCAAGTGATAGCTGCAGGAACATTGTGCCCTGACACCACCAAGACAATGGAAGGAAAACAAGGTGAACAGGTTTTGGACATAAATGGGCAAAATGGGAAGGAAATAGAATGGACTCCACAAACTGGAGGACTAAAAAGGAAGAAAAGCTCACGTCAAAGGTCAGTTCTGGAAACAGACTGGAGAAGGCTTCTTGCTCAGCCTATGATGCTTCTCTATCTCTTAACAGAAAGCATACTGAACGTATCTAACAGATGGATTTCCTTCCAGACATCAGTCCAAAGATGGATTAAGCTATATATACTTGATCTTCACAGCCACTAAAGCACGTACGTTGATAAGCCCATCCATTTTACTGGCTTCCTTTTTGCAAGTAAAATTCTCAGTTTTGCTGAGCTAACGAGGATGAGCACTGCGTTGTCACGTGATCTGAACAAGAACATTGCACAGCGTGCTTGAAAAGGAAAAGTAACCAGCTCCAATGATTAGAAATGAACCAAAGCAAACAATGCAAAACTGATGATGGCTCTGAGAAGTGGTAAAAAAAAGTAGTGAAGGTGATTTTGTGTGATGAGCATGAGAGCATAGATAAAGAGATGGGCAATGCAGGCACCCCAGATTTAGTGACAGCAGAAGCATTGACCTTAAAGCCACTTCCAGCCCACCACAACGCAGCATGCAGAAGCCTGAAGTGCATGGGTCTGCGCAGCAGAACCACTGGAGGGGCCACAGTGCTCATCAGCAGTTGCCCAAATGCACGCAAGGGAATGGATAAAGCTTCATAAAGCTGCAGTTCCCAAACACTCAATGGCATCACTACAGATAGCACACAAACATCAGCCTGAAGGTGCTCTCACCGCTTCCAGCTCCTTTTGAGTCTCATCCTCCATCCTCCTGATGTCCTCCATAGTCAGATCGATCCACTTGTCGATCCAACAGAACAGCTGGCGATGGAAGTTGGTAAATATCCTTTTTTCTTGCTTTAAGAAGATAAGAAAGCATTACATGAGAGGCCTGCTTCCTGCCACCCGCCAGCACAGCGACTGCAGTTCTTTACTCTCAACATGAAGCACTTACCTTCTGTATAAGGTTTTCCACTTTGTTCTGCAGTCCCCACCATTTAAATTTAATCGTCACCAACTTGTAAGCACACATTTTAGGGCACTCTTCATCAGTTGCTAGCTCTTTCTGTTTATGGATAATTGGAAAAGGTTTGTTTTTTTAATTCATTTCAGTGAAATGCATTTAATATTACTCTACATCTTAGTAAATGACTGCACTAACCTCAACACAGAGTAGCAGGGATTAACAAATAACTGAGTTACATCCATACCTATCTTATATATCTATAAGACAATTCAATTAATGCAGCAAATATATATTTTAAATCTGTTTTAGCATTGATTCCATTTCCATCACTTCCACTGCAATATACTTCCTGAGGTTTTGAGGGGACAACAAAGCTTAATTACAACAGCTAGTCCCAAATTATTATATACTTCTGGGGCTATTACCCAAAGGCAATTATAATCTGAGCTGTATCAATTTTCTCAACATAATGGTGGAAAACATTCACTCCAGAAAAGATGCAGATCACAAAACTCACATCATCACCCCCAGAGTTTACTTCTCACAAAAACACAAAACAAATCTGATTTGGTTCTGCTTTTCCATATACTACAAAAAGGAATCAAACCCTGGCACGCTCTCCCCTATTCCTCTCTCCCTCACCTTTCTTCCCTGGAGATGATGGCAGAAGGGTTTGCTCTTAGCCATACACAGAAACTGCCTCTAATTCCTACTTTCTTATCACAGTTTCTACTTCCAAACAGGTTTGAAGCACCCATAACATCACAGATGCTGTTTTTCCTACAATTCATGCAGCCAAGTTTACATATCAGAAGCAACCACGTCCTATTTTTTTTAACAGCAAGTTAGGTTACTCCAAGCCTTGTAGAAGAGGAAAATTAAAGGAGAAACAGGGAAGCAACTCAACCCAAACCTCTGCATGTGAATAATAAGCAGTACAATGGGAAGACCATAGATTTATATTCTGCCTGAGATGTTGGTTCCTTCCTCCTGAGGCAAGGAGCAAAGACTGGTATGGAAAAGCCCTGTGAGGGCTGTGTGACCCAAGGACAGAGAGAAATTACTTTTTTTTTTTTTTAATAAACATCTGCAAAAGGAGGAAAACTCAATGCCTGGAACCAGCATGCAATTTATAATAGTGTACACTCAGAGGTCTTGAATACAGATAACACTCACCCAATTTAATTTGCACTGGTTTAATTTAGTAGTGATATTGAACAAGCAGCAGACAGTAACTTTGCTTATTAATACATCTGGAACTTTAAATGAATGCACAAGAACAGAAACACCAAAAGCCTGCCCTCTGTTCTAGCACTAACACCAAAGTGCTGGTCTCAAGAGGACAGGCAAACGTTTTTTTTCCTTGCTGATGACACTTCATAAGGCTGTAAAGCCAGTTCTTCTTACCTTCCAGTTTGGCCCCAAAGGTCCTCTCTTGGTCTTAACTGACTGGAATAATGCAGGGTCTTCATCAGCTTTGTAGTCCTATAATATAAAAACAAACAAGCCTGAGTGTCGGAAAGAAGCAGCTACAATAAAGCTCCTGCTCATGGCAACCAAAGTGATCCAGCCAACAGCTGGGAGCAGTGAGTGGAGCAGGTTTTGAGTCTGGTTTGAATTGGAGTGGAAAACTCCATCACACCAGCTCGCTTGCTGCCCGTCACCAGCAGTGCTCCTGATGTATTTACAGCAGAACAGCACCCTGGGCCTCCTCCTCTGTCCCAATTTGTGCGCCCTTGTGCTGGGCACTGTGTGCCATAGGCACAATCCTCTCAGTTTTGTAAACTGTGTTTGGTGGGGAAAGGAATAATAACACTGAAATCAGAATGCTGATGTTTTCCAAACTGCAACACACGTCTACTTCTGAACCATTGATCAGAGCAGAAAGGGAAGAAGGCATGAGTGAGCTAACTTGAGAAATCAGGACCAGGATGACCCCAGCCTGCAAGGCACACTGCTGGCCAAGGCACAGAGCGAGCACAAGGCAGCAGCTCCTCTGGCACTGCATTACAGAACAGGCACCACTACTTACCAGGTCAGTCATACACAGTGGGAACGAAGCCATTAGCAAAAGAGCTGAGAGCTGAGAAATGCTCCTAGTGCATGGAATAGCTCACTTTTACTGATGAGGTGTATGGAAATGATTATTTCAGAGAGACATTTATTTGGGAATTAGGACAGGTTAGAAACCCCTGACCTTGGTATCCAGGACAAGAAAGATTTACATGACGTATGGGAAACATGTGCCTAAGAAAACCACTGCACCCAAGTAGCCAAAGAGAACTGTAAAAGTTTAAATGACTTCTAAGCAGGACGAGAACTCAGTGGGTGCTACAGAAAAACCCAGGAACACTTAGCAAAATTAATGTGCAGTTTTAAAAGACAAATTTTGATGAGGACAAAATGTGCAGAGCACAGAACGAAAGAAACACTGCCAGGAAAGCAGCTGCTGGGATTCCCCAATCCTGCATCACAGAACAATCACAAAGAATCCCATCCACAAATTGCTTTAAAGATGAATTAAAACTAAAGCTTCATCTTCCTACTGCATCCCTGGACATGGAAAATTCAATCCTATCCGCTTCAAGATACGAATAATTGTAAGAAAGGCTCTGTGAGCACCAGAATTGCAGTAGTGCTCCTTATGAGGCACAGCATCCAAGCACAGTGCCTTGAGAACTGCTTTCCAACTACAGCAGCTGCACACACACACAAGATAACCCCAGCACTGGCACACCATGGAGCAGGGCTTACCAGGCTGGGTCACACAGGAGTCCATCTGATCTAATATCCTGTCTCAGTGGCCAGTAACAGATGCTGCATGGAAGGATGCACACAGCGCATGGGCAGATCTAGCAATCCAAGGAACAAGAAGCTGGCTCCTCGCTTATGTACTTCATTTGTAGGTTGGTTTTATAGAAAGCTCAGTGTTTTTGCTGTCAGATGCACTGAAGGCCCCATACAACCCACTAGTTAACGGATTTAGAAAGCATTAATAGATGTTCAGATCTTTCAAATATATATAAATGGATTGCTTTTGCTAGAAGCATGATTCAGAAGACCTCCAACCGCACTGCTGGCGGATATATTTTCACTGTGACCACAAGGCAGCATTTTCTTCTATTTTTCCCTCTAAATTGAAACAATATATTTATACAAAGAGCCCAAATAATAGCCAGGCAGCTTTAGCAGGGCACTCCCACAGGTACTAAGAGAATTCTTTATCCACCACACAGGAGTAATTTGAGGACTCAGCACAAGCACCGCATGTTAACACTGAGAATCCAGCAACACGTGTATGCAGGTCCTCCCCAGGAGGAGAGCAACATTTGTTCTTTAGGAAAGCCCCGTTCATTTCTGATTTTACTGGACCAAGGCACGTCCTTTTTATGAGCACCAACATGAGCAGTATTTCCTCACATACAACACGCATGGCATGCAGAGCAGAGCACTAACTCCCAATTACAGCTGCAAGCAGGCAGCAGCACAGGGCACGAGCCTGCTGCCTCCTTAGCACTGCAGCTCCTTTAGGAGCCAGCAAGGTGAGCACAGGGGCACAGCCACACTGATTGCCACCAGCTGCAGACTTCTCCTCCCATTAGTGATTTCCAAACACTGTGGGTGAAATCAGCTGCAATCTGCTCCAATCCTCAGGTCCACAGCACATTCTGAAGGCTTCATCTTATGTCTGTGAATAGATATTTCTAAAACAACTCCTGGCTGGAAAAAAAAAGGAATTTTCTTTACAGGTAAATCAAGAAATACATTTAAGTCCTTACAACAATATATTTTTAGATAAATATATTTCCTACTCTAAAATACTGGTTATGACTGCCTGTCAACCCCACTCAAACACCAGAATAGAAGATACGGAACAAAGGCAGCAAGCTATTGCAACATATCAACAACTTTCTAACCATCAATGCTCTTATGCTGCATTTGAGGGTATGAGAGACCAACAGCATATACTTCACTCGCAGTCATTAAGGTGAAGGATGTGCAATTAACACGTTAAAAGATATACATTGAATACATGGGGCCCCAGAGCAGGTCTGTCCCATTCACTCAGTGCTTCCTAATACTTTCATCACCTGTGATGCCTTTCCACTCATTCCCAGTGAAAAACTTTATTAGGACAAGCACAGCATGCTCTGCACATGGCTCTGAGCAACTGGATGGCTGTGAGCACTGCTGGAGCTGTGGGTGTCCCTGAGCACTGCAGGCAATGGGATCAGATGCCCTTCAGGAGTCCCTTCCAACTCAAACCATTCTATGATTCTGTGCTACTCTCCCACTCCTGTGGCATTACTTGTAGCACAGAAATAAATGCTATAAGTAAAAGGTAGGAGCGAAATAAAATTCAAAGAAAAGAGATGAGTCATGGTAACATTGTAGAGACCACATACAGAAGACTTTTCAAGAATCACACCACATCCTGTTAGACCAAAGCCTAGAAGGACAAGAGAGCACTGCAGGAACTCCTCACAACACACAAACCCTACCAGCATGCAAGCAAGTCAGCTGGACTGGAGCCAGAGTACAAATAAACAGCAGTTCTCTGCAAAGTTTAAGGAAAATATCTGTGCAGCAAGTGCTTAACTCCTGACAGCAACAAGTCCTTCTTAGGAAGAAAAACAGGCAGCAGTTGGAAGAAACATTACAGCTAAAAAGCCCCGAAGCTCTCCTGAAAACTAGTCAGGCAGGCATGAGATGCAGCTGAGTAAGAATATAGAGAAGTAAAAATCCTTTCTGAAGAAATACACAGATGTTGTTTCATGTGTACTTCCTGCTTAAAACCGCAATTCAATACACATGAATGCAACAGACTGCAATAGAGAATTATTCAGAGACCGTGAACCGTATCCAATAAAGCAATAATTGCAGCACACCCTCAATTCAGGTGTTTCTTCACAGTTCATTGCCCACCAACGCTAAAAGTTACTCTGAGATGCATCAGCGTAGTGGGAATAACATCATCAGGTGGTGCCACCTCTTCGCCCCCTCGTCCAGTGACACCCACCAGCAGCAGCCCATACTTTCACACACCTGCCTCACCTGAGCACCAAAACAAAACAAGCCTGAAGCCCCACGCCTCATGTTTCAGTAAACTCAGCGTTCCCTTATTCAAAATAAGCATCCTTATTTATTTTTCAGATGAACTGAGAGGTTATGATGTACACAAGACGCACCAAGACTATTACCAACACAGCACACGATACTACGCTTCTGGCCTGCTAATAACGAACTTTTTAACGCCTATCACATCACAAATTGAGTCCAAACTGGGACAGATCCACCTTGCTTTCAGAGAAAACAGTTTTTTCAGTCAAGAAACTTTTAAAATTCTTCTACAGACTACGAAAGGATGTTTCCTATGTGATATATTTACTGAAACTGTAGAGCCAGGGGGATCACAGAATCATAGAATGGCTTCGGTTGGAAGGGACCCCAAGGATCATCAAGTTCCAACCCCGCTGCCAGTGCACAGACAGCCCATATTTCTTGCTCTTAGTTCAAGCATTAAATACTGACTGCCCTGTATGAAACTGTACTTTTAGAACACTGTTTCAAGCAATATAATGATCCAGTATGACCTAGAAGAAGACATCTAACCACCTCTTCACTGTACAGAAACAGCTATAAATCTGACTTCAATTCCTTTGTTTTTGCTACACTCCAGCTTCACACAAATTGTTTCCAAAAACGCAGACTCTTGTGATGTTAACTGAGTGTTCAATTCTGCTTAGTCTTTAAAAAGTCTTATTCTCCTGGGAAGTGATTTTTGTATATAAACCACATAAAGCTGCTTTGATTGTATGCTGGAGATGATTAAGAGGCCAGGGTTAAATCTATACCTGAAGAAAGCCACAGATGTTGCCCAAATTATTTCTATACATACTTAAACAAGCACAAGTTAGCATATGCATACCATCAGTACCTTTAGGAAATGCACTGCTTTTTGTATTTATGCTGATTGCAGCTCTGAAACTGAAGTAATCGTCACACTACAATGCTTTGGCCAAGGTTCAATCACTGAATGCAAGGGTACATCTTGAGTGTATTTATCAAACTTTTACCAAAATTGGATTTTAAAAATGCAGCTTGCTTCCTTCAGTCATGCTGTTATCCCAAGTAGCACAACTGGGTTCTTTTTGACAAAAAATAAAGAAATGTAAATAAAACAAAGGCCAGAAAGTGCAGATTTTCACCACGGAAGAGACTACCAGTCTGGGTCAAGGAGAATTCCCTGCTGGCCAACACTGAGCTGTTGAAGAAAGGGGGCAAATAAGAGGTGTGAGAAGGGTGCCAGCTCATGGGTAACTCACAGCAGGATCTACATTCAGATAAAACTTCATTCAACAAAGCAGTGACGTGATATTCAAAGTCAGCACTCTGCAAAATGGAATGTCTAAGGGATGAAACGGAAACGCAAACCTGAATCATGTGGTGGAAGCTGGTCCCAAGGATACCTACACTATCATGGGTCCTACTGTGAATCTTAACCTAAAAGCACTTTGCTATGGCCAAAAATGGTGTTAGAGTCACTACAAAAGGAAGAGAACATAGAAACAGAAGAGGTGACCTGAGACTCTGGATTAAACCATTCCATGTTTATAGTTCTGACACTCTGTAGACCAAACATTCAAAAGGAGGAAAAAAAAAAAAAGGAGGATAATGTACTGAAAATAGTTTCAAGGACTTTCACATATGAAATGGTTTCCATGTGAAGACGGATGGAGAGACAGCAGACCTGGGAGAGATGTGATGGAGAGGAGGTGGGGGAGGACAGTGGGAGAATGGTCAAAATCTGTAAGAATTCTGCAGAAAGTATAAAAAGGGGCACAAAATGAACTGAATGATGAGGCAGGCACGTGCTGTGTCTCTGTACCAACAAACACTCCACAGAATTCACGAGGCTACAAACGGTTTCAAAATGGATTAGATGCACTCACGGGAATGGAAGTTCCTACCAAAGGGCCAGATGTAAGCAGGGGTTCTGGAAGTCTTTTAAACAGATTGATCTTTCCACAGATATGCACCTCTCAGCTTTTTGTATTCTATGCTTCCCAAGTGCCTTATCCTTCCACACGTCACTGCTACTGGCCCCTAACAGGATACTGGGTTAGATGGATCTTGATCCTGAGCCTAAAGTACAGCTTCTTTTAGCATACCGCCATCTGTCAGTCTTCAGTACAAAGGAAACTGCAATATGAAGGCAAACCATGGCACACAGCACTGCAAGAGGGCATACAGCATAAGCAGTGCTGTTCCCTAACAGTACTCCAAACAGAATAAATATGTAAGATCAAGGAACATCAATAATAAGCACCTTTATTTACAGGTACTGCGACTGAGAAAGCAACCTGACAGATGACAGCATTGTTGTTGTCTGCCACAATTCCAGGCATGGAATAGGGAATGCACAACATACATTTACCTGCCAGGTCAGCTCTAAGGTCATATGGAACGTCTGAAAGAACAAGGGGCAGCAAAATGATTCCTCACTGCACTACAATAGGCGAGGTACATTTCGTTTGCTTTACTGGGAGGTTCTCCAAACAGTGTATTTTCACACATGTAAACCCACAGATCACCCATTAAACATCAGTTAAGCAGCAGGTTATACACTTAAGTTGGCAACAGAAATAGCAATTTATGAAACACGCCTTTCCCATTCACATACCACTGTGGCCTTTTCCCTCTTTCCTTTACTTGCCTGCAAAGGAGTTCTCTCTCACAGTGAAAGATATCCAAGTATTTATTTTTTGGAAAATAACAATTAAATAGTTTCAAGAACAGCTGCTTGCACAAAACCAGCACAAAATTATCACGTGAACACAAACAGGCCAGTGTTGGTGTAAGCCAGAAATTAGGACAAGCACTTTATAGTGAAGGTGCCCTCTGAAGTTGTGTAAACCTGCGTGTAGAATCAATGTATCCTACCTTCTTACATCAGTCACACACAGTGAGTTGCTTAACAATTGGCAATGCAGAGGAACAGAATGGGAACTATCACAGACCTGAAGGGCTGCCCTGTAAGCGAAATCCCAGCAAGGCAGATAAAGCTGAATACATTTCTTTGGGTATTTACTCCAGTGAAATTTCACATTATCAGATTTAAGGCATCTTTTCTGTGTAAGAAGATGGAGGCCTGTGTTCCTAGCACTGAACTTTGCCACTCTCTCTTCTTCATCTAGCAGCCAGCTTCCACCACTGCACACACTCCTCTTTGTCTGGCATACAACTTCACTAAATAACCATGTGCCATTACTGATAAAATCTCTCCTAATTTTTTCCTTCCTCTACAACGATATTAAACTTCATACACTCAGGAAAAGGACCACAGACTCCCAAGGAGAGATTTCTGGGTGTATCCATAATGCTGATGGTCACCAAAGCAATTAATGATGAGGAAACAGAAAGAGTAATCCCACAGCTTTCAGAAGATACCAAAGTTCATTTCTTGAGAATTGTTTGGATAAAAGGAGTTTAAAACTAAAGTCTAGTTTTTAATGGCAAAGCCTGACAGCTCCTCTCGAGATTGCCTGAACCACAGAGTGAAGGATGGGTTGGGGGACAGAGAATTTCTAATCAAAAAGTAGCAGCAGAAGCACAACAGGAGCTTGGTGGAAATGCTGCTCTATCTCACGTTGGACAGCTGGGGCAGGTTCTTGCTCTTGCCTTCACACGCTGACATGAGCACACAGATCCCTGCTCCATCTACTCAATTACTTTGTCTACAGCTGGAAATAAAAACAACACCAGCAGTCTGTTGATTTTCACGTCTGTGTCTTGTAACTGAGAGTCAAACCCAACAGTTTAAAATTGTCAACGCAATTCCTAAGCATGAAGCACAGGAAAGAATTATTCAACATAATTGTATCTGTTGGATAAAATCCACACCACTTCCAGCTCATTCACAACAACCAGAAAGCACTGACAGAACGAGCAGCACGCTGTGCCCCCACCCCAACATTAGCATGTTTACTTACTCCTGGTTCTACTTGAGTTCTGTCTGCAATGTCAATATGGACAACTTCAACACTCTTCCACGTGTTGGGATCTAAATTGTGCACCTGCAAAAGAAAAAGGAGTGGTTTTGATGCCACAACCTGATGCAGCAAGTATATTTTATTCTGGACCTCATGAAGGTAGAGTGTGTTCTCAGAATCTGTGCTTTCTTTCTCTGCTTTCCTACAAGGGAATTATTTCTTTAGTTCAATTAATTCACTAAACAATTTTAAACCAACACAAAGCCTTCAGCTCCTGTGCTTTCATGAGACCAGATTTAAAATCAAGCTGTATTCTTTGTATTCATCACAGCTGATGAAATTGAGTTCTAATTAGAAATGTCACCCATTCAGCAAAATGGTTCTATTTAGAAAGAAATCTTCACAAGTTCCAAAGTGCAAATATGGCAGGTCTCAATAACCTGCCTACCTTTAGTCAGTTCTCTAAAGAATAGGCCTTCCTCTAGTATGCTTCAGATGAATGCATGCAGGATGAAGCTACACATTGATCTAAGCATGCTATTAACTTCACATCTGTTACCTGTATGGCACACCTGAACTTACAATTAAAGAAGGCAGAGCTGTTCAAGAAATACCCTCCTTCTCTGCAGCACATCCTTTCTTTAGGATGAAGCAATTCACCAAAGCACTGAGAACACATTGACCATCCTTCCCCCCCAAATGCTCTGCAAGTACATTTGTCAGAAGAGGTCTCCTGAAGAGACCCATGAACTGAATGAAGCATCAACACAGGAAAAGAAGACCTCCAGTCCAGAAAACTTACAGCTTAAGCTTCAATAAATAGCCCTACAGAAACATCCAAAAATAAACCATAATGTCAGTTTCAAAGTCACTGGCACTCCTAAGAGAAAAGAATATGAAATTAAAAGTTCCCACTTCCTAAAAACCTCTGTTAATGTCAGTGAGAATCAGATGTCTGCACTGATATTAACATTAAAAACAAAAAAGAAATTCCTCTTTTTTTTTCTACCTCTTTAGATGAGAAACCCTGATCACCTCAGGATTTGAATAACACTTTCTGTGTAAATGACTGGTTGGACTTTGAACGTTATACAGTGATTATCTGCCATTACTGGATATGGAAGACCTTATTTGGCTGAAAGGAAAATATTACTAATGTTAGGTATCCAAACCCAACTCACGTTCTCTGACGTCCCCAGGTCGGGTTTGTGCCAGGTCTCGATTTTTATGAAGAAATCATCTTTCATGTATTCATTCTGTAAGAATTAAAACAAAAACCATGAGTTTGATTGTGCTCACTCAGCTTAACTCCTAGTTACACAGCGTAGGTACGTTTTACATAAGTGCAAATTTACATTTGCATAAAGCAGTCCTCACTAAGTCTTAACTAGCACACGTTCTATTTAAATTACAAAAAGAAACAGCCCTTTCTCCTGCACACAGAAGGTACAACGAGATAACCTGCCTCTGATGGGCAGTGCTGGTGGTGGGGGGTGGCTGCACTGAGTGATGCTGGAGGCCTCTTCAAACCTTGGTGATTCCAAGAGCAAGAAATCAGCTACAGCACCAAGTGCTCCATTGAAAGCAGTCCTACTGGTAAGCCCAGCTCGGTGCACACAAATAGCAGTAAGGGCGCTGTCACTCAGGATCCCTCTTCCTCAGCTCTGAAATTCTTTACTTCTACGTTCACAGCATTTTAAATGAATACTGCAACAAAGATGGAAAAATTCGACGCCAATATACTTCAGTTAATGAGACCATTCTGAGAGCTGGGTGACAGCTGACACAGAGCAGACGTTCACATATAGCACAGTTACGACCGTCGAGGTCTGGCTACCACCAAACCTTATGTCTACAGCCCAGCACAGAACACTTCTAATTTCAGAAGTAGAAAAGCAGACATCAGTGTGCACACATCATGGGGAAACAAGCCGAGCAGTTCAGCAACGTGTTTGCAGCACCTTATGCTGTACCCTCAGGGTGACAATCTGAACCAAGTCTGCATGCGAGCAGATAAAGGAATTTAACATCAAATGTACAAAGCTCCCTCAAACAGATCACCAAAATAGAGACACGGGATAATGAAGGCTTGCTGGTCTCTTTATCACACATTTTAAATAGCAAAAACCCCAACACCCCAGCTAAATTGGTCCACCTTGCTTCTCAGTTAACCCATTTTAACTGAGGCAGAATTTCACTTTCTGCAAAACAGGATTTCAGGGACTGATTATTCCACATTCAAGACCATAGAAAAAGCTGACTTAGCATTCTGTTCTTGGCCTGCCTTAACAAGACAGGCGTTACAGAGCTGTAACAGTAAGCAAAGATACAAAACATGATGCAAAAAATGAAAGCATTTCTTTGCCAAATCACAGTTCTTTCCAATTATAGCCAAGTAGTGACAAAGTAACAAGTTGTCCTGTGCCAGGAACCCCCACAAGGCATAGGTACGTGGCTGAGGCTGGCTTGCTGGAGTCAGTTGTAGCATTCACAACAAATAAAACATAATTCAGATCAATCCACCATAGCACTGATAGCAATTCAAACACTCACCGTCACAACTGGTCATTGGAAACACGTGGGATGAAAGGAAAAAAGAAACAAAAGCGTGATTAGATAGGATTGTTTATGAAACATTGCAGACAATGAATACACCACAGTGCTAAGAAACATTCAAGATTAGTCAGAGAGATTTTGGTGTGTGCAGTCAGCATGCTGCAGATTACAGCTTGCCAGCCCTAATTTTGGAAGTTTACTACAAAGTGATTCCAACTATTGAATAAAAACAACAGAACAGAGCCTACTCTTAAGGCTGCCAAAGTTGAAGTATTTCAATAACGCAGTCACCTCCTTTAAACAGACTACAAGGATGTACAGAAATTACTTGGTTTCTAACAGCTTCTGTTCTACACTCAAAGAAAGAGTGAGTTGTTAGTCTTGCACTAATGGCACTGCACTCTAAGGCTGCTTTTCATAAGCAGACCTTTTCAGAACAGGAGATCTCAGAAACACAACATTAAAGTGCAAAATGTGCTTTCTACTTGATGGCACCCACTCTGCTCCTAAACAATTTAAGACCATCCCTAAACACTAACAGCATGAGACACTTCAGCACAGAAGTAAGTGTCACCTACTTGTTCTACAGTAAGGATATGCGTTCCAGGCCTTCTCATGGAACACCAGGGAGCCTTCTGGAGCAATCATTCTTACAAAACCAGGAACTTTACTGTAAAAAACAAAAATTGACATGATTTAAGTTTATTTGCCAGCTGCAGAACCTCACTGATTTCTCCCACTCTAAAAAGAAAGGCATGTTCTACCCAAGCACAGCAAAGGTCACGATCCCTAAGTTACTCACAATCAGCTATGCAAGAACTCTAACAACATTACTGATCACAGAACAGTTAAGAGAACATTGCTGAAGGTAACAAGGAGGCTGTGGATGCCCCATCCCTGCAGGCATTCAAGGCCAGGCTGGATGTGGCTCTGGGCAGCCTGGTCTGCTGGTTGGCGACCTGCACACAGCAGGGGGTTGGAACCAGATGATCGCTGTGGTCCTTTTCAACCCAGGCCATTCTATGATCCTATGTAACCACAAGGTAATTAAGAGATGGTCCCAACCAATATCTATGTTTTCCTCACCTCTTTAAGTGATAGATTTTGTGAGTATATTGTCCCTTCTCATCATCTTTTTCATAAGGCTCGTTTATTAAGACTTGAATTCCTTCACCGCCTCCCGTTTCATTTTTGCTAGCTTCTGCCACCGAATAAAGTTGACCAACTTGATACTGGAAAGTTAAGAAAAGTGAGATTCAATATTTAAGTCAGGCAAAATGGCCAATGCACAGAAGAACTGCTAGCAGGAACACAATGAAATTAGGAAAGAAAAATAAAAGAAGCATTCATGACAACGTGACGATGGGGCAAAACACACCACCTCGATGCACCTCTTCCTTCACCTTAAGGCAACACACTGGTATGGATCCACCACCCTTCGTTCATCCCACATTAAAAACAAAGCATAGAAATTCTTCATGAAATAAAAGTTGTTTACAAGATTTTGAAATGATTGAATTCCAGCACCAGCTCCCCCAGATTAATACTTTTAACTAATTAGGTACCACCCTCACAGGACCATTTAAATAGCTGCCTTCAGATCTCAGAAGACCGTTCCCACTTTTGCCTTCAGGAAAAGCTTTGGGGTCACTGAATGCCTTGATCAGCAGGAAAATTCTGCTGCAGCACACAGTTGCACAATGTTTTTCTCTCACTCGTAAGCCATGGAGTGGCTCAGAAACAACTAAACGCTGCAGGCCTGTAGGCATCTGCCTCCTTTTGAAATTCACTGATCTGCAACAGGTTAGCTCTGCCTGACTGGTGGCTTACACACATGGTACCTTATGCACAGCTGAGCTGCACTGAGCTGAGCACAGGGAACATTTGGATCCAGGGCAGTCAGACTTAAAGAACACGTCGGCATCTTCCCATCCCTCCCCCCAGAGCCAGAACAGGTCAGATGAGGACATACCTCTTGCACTGAACATGGCAACACCACTCGGCTGAAAGGACAAAAAGAAAAATTAATACAATGAACTGTTAGGTTTCAGCAACAGTTATAAGCTGTAATAAACACAGTCAAGAAGGAAACATCAGCACGAGCTAACTTAGGATTTCTTTTCAGATGCACTGTACAACAGTACAGCTCTATGGGGACAATACGAGAAATCTGCGTGAAAGGATGGTCAAGGGGAGATGGGTGGGAATGTCAAAAGCTGCACAGAAGGGCAAGGAAATCCAAGCCCCATTTCCAGCTCTGCTGGAAACTCAGAGCTGCCAGCTTTTTTCACACGTGACGACAAACAGCCCTACCAGTGCCACAGACAGCAGAACACACACATGGGCCCTCAGAGCCTACAAATGAACGTTAGCAATTACAGCCGTTATGAGTCACTTAAAGAGCGGCGACGGCTCACGCCCATTAAGGTGGCAGCGGGACGGCACCGGGTGCCCCGAGGTCCCTCCAACCCGAGCCGTCTCGTGCCTCTGTCTCGCAGCTCCTACACACCTTCTTTATTTATCCCTGACGGGACAGGGATTCCCACGTGTGCCTTGCCGAACTACTTCCATTTCCACCTATAAAACCTTCCGAGAGAGATGGAAAACCAAATGGAAAAAAAAAAAAACAAGACAGCCGCCTTTGAGATCTGACCGCCTCAAACGTTTCAGCTCGGAAAGCGGAGCTCGCAGCTCACCGCGGGCTCGCCCAGCACGGCCATCAGCGCAGAGCTGAGCGCTGACTCGCCCGGCCGGACGCGCGGTGAGCACCAAACGAAACCGCGCCCCAGGCGGTAACGGAGCGGCTGCGGGACCCCGCGGTGCCGCCCCGAGCCGCTCGGATGGCCGCTCCTACCGTCCCTGCAGCCCCGCGCCCTCGATAAGGGAGCGGCCGAGGCGACGCGGCCCCGGGCTGGGGCGGGCCGGGCGCTTCCGGCGCGGCGGAGCCGAGGGAGGCCCAGCGCGCATCGGCTCCCGCCACGGCCCCACCCGGCTGCACCCTCGCGGCTCGGCGCGGCCCCACCGCCGAGAGGCGCGGGCGGCTCCAGCCGCTCTCCGGCAGCACCGGGCCGCGCCGCTCAAAGCCCGCTCGCCTCCCGGCCGCCCGCACTCACAATTCCTTGATCAGCACCATCTTCCCCGCACCGCCCCGTACTGCGCACGCGCGACCGGCGGCGCCTGCCCATTCCGCACGGTGCGCTTCCGAGGAAGCCCCTCCCCCTCTGAGATGGACGCCCAATCCCGCCGCGTCGTGCAGCCTTACTTCCGGTCCGCGCCTCGGTGAACCCGGGCACGGTGCGTGGCGCGCACGCGCCCGCCGCCACCAATCCGAGGGCGCGTGACTCACAGCAACGCCTCCACCTCACCTGCAGGCAGCCAATCGCGGCGCGCCGCCCCGCCCCGCCCGCCTCCAGCCCCGCCCCGCGTCCCCTCGGCCCGGCGGGAAAGGCGGCGTTGGCCGTAGGGTGCTTGGTGTTGGAAAAGAGCTCCGTCCAACCGTCAGCCCGTCCCCGCTGTGCCGTAAAGCCACCGGCGCCACATCTCCCAGCTGAACCGCCCTCGTATTCCACCCCTGTGAGAGCAAACCACCACACACAGCGCGGAGCAACACTGACACTCAGCGGGATAAATGCTTTCCCAGTTCCTCGTAATGAAATGTCACTGCGTTTGCGATTGTCTCAGAGCGAAAACGTGAAAGTCGGGTGCTGTGGAAACAAACCGCTCAGACCTGTGCCTTAGAAGCATGGCCCACGAGGCACAGAAATGCAGCAGGGCCGGGGCGCAGCACAGAGCTTCCAGAGCTCCCAAACATTCTGAATTTTCCTTTATTTGGTTTTTCACAACCTTGGCTCAGCCCATCCCGCTGCTGCGGCTCTTTCCCCATATGGACAACATTTGTCTCTTGTTTACTCAGCTAGCTGCAATGCACGCTCCCTCCAAAACCCTTCTTCTCTTTGTTTATACCCAGATCATTCCACACCACAGCATCATCTGAGGAGCTGCATCCTGCTGATTCCAGACCATGCACACAGACAAACCTCTTCAGGCCTGCAAATACAGTTTCATCGTAGTCTGCTGGTGGAGAGCACACTTCCCCTGCAAACTGTTCCTCATGGAGTCCTGCAGCCACAGCACTCCCTAAGTACTGAGCACCCCATGCCTCAGGCCAAGGGAGAACGCCTCTGGTTCCTCCTTGGTGCCACATTTACCTCAATCAAATGTGAAGCAGCTTTGGGCTGATCATCTCAGACATAAGTATGCCACAGCTGAGCAAAAGGACCCAAAGGAAAAAAGGAATCGGATTCTTGGTGTGATGGCCCCCATGCTGGCACAAAGGGTGGTCTGGAAAATCTCCTCTGTTGCTGATGTCCTCATATCCAAGATCTGTTTGAAAACTGTGAGGCACCATAAAAGCTCAAGGTCTTTTCATACCAAAACTCCCCTTAATACTGGAACCCACAGGCTGCAGCTAAGTATCTGTGCATTGGAGAAACTAACAGCATTCAAATTTCACGTGCTGAATTGTCCTCTCTACTTACAACTGCATCACGTTTTCTTACATTCCTGTTCAAACAGTGATGCTGCTAGACAGTCTGAATCTGGCTGTCTAACAGGCTCCTCTGGAAGCCTTCTGGGACTGCAACATTTTCCTGACACACTCTGAGATTGTGGGTTAGGCTCCATGATGGAGAGGAGCTGTACCTTGGGAATGTGCCTGCTTCTGAAGTCCCTGTGACCCTCCTCCAGCCTCTGGCACTGCGTGGGCTCTGCTCTTGCTCTGATGCTTCCTTCAACTTTCTGGCTCCTAATCATCCTTTTGTGATAGAACAGACATTTTTAACAGCAGTAAACGCACTTTTATATAATGAACTGTGAATCAGAGCATGCCTTTTTATTAACTAACCATTCCCTTTTACGCCAAAAGTTCAAAGTTGTGCACTTCAGCACAGAGGCTACAGGCAAGTGACTTGGGAACAGCACAGGTGCTTTCCTGGAGGCCATTAAGACACCAGCCACAGCAATTTTCCAATAAAATCTCATGCAAATGGTGTCACTACATAATAGAAGATGGACTGTATTCTTTCTAACAGGGATAAAAAGTTCTCTTTGGAGAACTTCAAATACAGAGCATCAGCTACTTCAGAAGTATGCCAGGAAGGGTCCCTTGCAAAAGTGCTTATTCAATACAGACTACCATGATTTACATGGTTCAGGTCAACTCATTTTCAGCAGGTCAAGGACTCAGAAGCTAGAAACTCTAGGCCAGTGTGAGCCTGCTCTGTCATGACCTAGGATACGGTTTGTGTCTTTCTGTCAGCACGGATAGAGCAGACATTTACATAGCGGGGAGAGAGGCATCAATGAAAACTTCAGAAAGCATAAAAAAGCTTAAATTCAGGTTAAATTCATATGGTCACCAGCACTTCCTTTAGGGACAAAGGCATCTTTAACATAGGAGAAGAGGAAAGATCTAAGTAAGCATGTTTCAACTGGCAAAAGGTGTGGAGAAAATATATCAGATATATCATACCTTTGGTACTTGGTCCTCCCACAGTGCAAGGATGGGACGAGGTGGTCCTTGGTCCTTCCAAGCCTACACGACCCTTTGCTGCTGACTAAAACAAATAAACAGTGAGCAAATGCTCACCTACTAGTAAAAGGAAAAGCAATTTCCAGGCATCATTTGTAGAGGAGGATGACATTCTGCTAAAAACCAGGAAGTTCTCAAAGACCCCTCATTTCCACAGCAGAAGTTGAGGACACTTGGAAATTCCCAGCTGGCTGCCAGGACAGAGAGCCATGCGCCAACAAGCTTGTTACCAATGCTGTCCTAGAACAAGAGACCAGAGAACTGAGAGAACTCATGCTTTAATAGACACTGAAATCACAAAGGAAGAAGGCCAAATGCCTCAGCAATTTCAATAAAAATATGAAAATCTTTTTACATGGTAAATTTCATAATATAAAAAGTTTAATGCTGTCTGGAAACAGAGTTTTAATTTACAAAAATGTCCGTATAGGCCAAACATGGCTAACACTGCATACATGGAGAGCAAGTGCTAAAGGGCTGCTGCTTGGAAGAGTCTTTGCTGACAGTCCTCTGAGTTACCATCTTCAATGCTCTTTTGAAGAGTTCTGCAACCGAGGGGCGAAGTTTTCCATACACATCTGCAGCCTTTCTGGACTGCACGGCAATGCAATGAACCCAAAATTGCTCAAATCCATTATTACCACCTAGCCTGAAACTACCAGTGTTTTCTATCAGATTCACAGATCTTCTGTGCACCTGAATCTGTTCTGCAACATGAAAGAGATGCTCACAGAACAAGTTTGACCTAACGAGAGGAAGTGCGGCCAAGAGTGATGTACACAGGTATAGCACCCTTCAATGACTTTTTGCCTTATTTAAATAAGGTAAGCCTAAAAAGAAGGAAAACCAGTAGCAGGCCGGGGTTCAGGCTAACCAACAAATCCAAATTAAACGGGATTTTGTTCCGTGAGATTGTTTACTGTTGCCCTTTAGTTTCAGCTACAGATAGACAATAAAATATCTGCAATCAGTATCTCACACATGGGATAAAACCAAACTAAAATACATTCCACGGCCCGGGGGAATCGTTGCATGTGGCAGGTTTAGTGTGAAAGTGGGTAATACCTAATTCTTATTGCTCACTGTATTAAGCAGTGTTGTCACCTGTACCATGCACAAATACAACAACGACAAATGCATTTAAACGCCACAGAAGGAATTCTAATATCAAACAGAGAACATGGTATTTTCATTTCCTGAATTTCTCCACATATCGGGCAAACCTGATAAAACTGCTTTTTCCTCACAAAGGGGTTGTTTCTCAGTTGGGGGTGCAGGAGTGAGGCACAAGGTGTGTGAAGTGTCTCCCAGACATAAGCAAGCATGCATGCTGACGGCTCTCATTAAGCCAACGAAGTGCCCTGTGCCAAGCCCATGGAAATAAACTTCTCAAAGACTTGTTCTAGTGACACCCACCTTCCATATTTATACAACACCGATTTCCCAAATACCCAACAGCTGAGCCCTCCCTGCTTCTAACGCATCCCTCCCTCCCCTTAAAAAACAAACCACAACAGAAGAACCATCACCCCCCCACCCCAAGTTAGCTCTTCTGAAAACTTCAAGCCAGTATGAAACCTACTGGCAGCATGAAAAAGGGTTGTACCAAAATGACAATATAGAATTTCCACAGATTAAAGAGCCTTTAGCTACGGATGTAAACTACAGTAAAGAGGCTTATTTCCGGCATGTTATGCAGCACTACAGGGAGTATTTGCTGTTGCTATACATAAGAAGCTGCCCACTTCCATCCTGGGTGTTCCTGGGATGTCGTTCTAAGTTATGCTGGTCAGAAACAGAGCAAGTCACACCGAGTCCCTCAGCAGTCGTGTGACCACAGCAAGCTGCACGATCAGCAGTCACCATCCAGCTGATGTGCTGGTGCTGTACTGACTCATTTTGGCCCACTATTCTAAGGTTCCCCACCTAACGATGGAAAGACAGTATCTAGCACCAAACCATCTCAGAAAGATGCAGTATACAGACAAGTAACTTGAATCATATAAACTGAATGGATTTAGTCAACTTTTTTTTTTTTTTTTTTTTTTTTTTTTGCTACATTGCATAATATGAGTAAATGAATAACTACTCTTTTTGTCTTTCTGCACTGAAACTTTTGTGACCATCCATCTCTCGTTAGCTGACTGTAACTACACAGCCTGATGTTCTTTGCCCTCAGCGCTTGTGTTCATTTCTTGCAATAGCAAAAAGGAAATCATTCTCTCAACATCAGTGGCTTCCAGAATATATTCAAAGCAAGCATTTCGTACGTGCACCATGATTAAGTAGAACCTAAGTAATTTTACATCATGGTATCAGAACTGAATCCTCTGCCCTGCTATCACACTTTTCTTCTGAGATCCCCCCAAGATCACAAATACTCAGGTCCACGTTTTCAAGAAGAGCATCCAGACGTGATAAGTGCAACAATTACCTGCATCAGCAATGATCCCCTAACTAGTGTGGAGATCTGACTGCACTCACCATTCAGGTAGTCAGCTGCAAGACTGAAAGTTGGCTTACGATCCCTCTAAAACTCAGGGCCTAAGTAATAAGCCTCACAACACCTCCGTGAGGTAGGTAGGTAAGTATTACTATCCCCATGTATATAGACA